GAAAAGTAACTGTATGTTTTAAAATGTTAAAAATGAAGGGCAGAGAGAACAAATATCTATATGTATATATGTCCACAAACCAATCAGCATATCAAGGATACTAAAGAAATAAAGAAAGAAGAAAGAATGAATGATGCTTAATGAAAAATCAAAGGATGGTTTCCACTGAGGTTGTTAAAAAGTCGATGAGAATGGATGATCACTGCCTATGCCCAACTGTTCTTTCATATTTCATTTTGGACTATATACTGGGGCAGGGGGAGGGGGTACTGAGGGAGGAAACATGTAAACATTCAAGGGCTGAGGATTATTAACACTTTCCTTTTTTGGTGTTGCTCACTGAGCTGTCAGCTAGAGTGACCTAAAACTCCAAATAACTGAAATAACTTTCAGCATTCTTTATCGCCAGTGTGAGGCAAGATGGAATGGAAAGTACTGACAGTTGGAGTTTTATCTAAATAGACCCTACTGATGCACTAACAGGGTGGGGCTGGGACTTAGGTCTAATCAGACCTTACGGGCTTTGTTGGATGGTATCTGTTCTGAAGGAATTAGATTAAGATACCCCTGGGGCCTAGCAGATGCTGATTTCTTCTGGGAGCCGATCTCGGGCCTCCCAAGAATTCTACTCATGGGGCAGAAGAGTCAATCCTCCACAGACTCTGCTGCCTAGGAACACAGCCTTCAAAGACTTAGTCCCTGTGTATATTTTTACCTCCCTATTTAGATGCTTGTTTAGATTTTCAACCTTCTTTACATGGTCACATAAGCCATCAGACTCAAAGGCAAATCAAGTTGGACTCCTCTTCATTTTTCTGACTTGATTCCCCCTGAGTTTTCTGTGCTTGTTTCACTCATATTCTGCTAGTTACACCCTAGGCCACATGGCAGGCAAGCATGGCAATGTTGCTATGATCTTCTGGGCTCTGCAGCCACAAGCTGCAGTGTGGTCTTCTCAGGATGGTTCCTGCCTCAGTTCTCCATTTGTCAGCTGAGAAACACAGAGCATTTTATAAACACTAGAGTCTCTGGATCAGCTAAGATCAGGTTTCTTTTCTGATCTACAGGTTTTTCTGTGCCAAATATTTCCATTTTGTTTCTCTCTGTGTGCCAACCCTCCCT